ACGGTGGCAGAATGGTTCAACACGAAGATAGGCCAAAAGACCGTAGAAATCTGTGTCGCCAATGAAGGGAAACAGGCCACATTTAGTAAAGTAAAATACAGCTGTCTGGCAGATAAGCGTTGCGGCAAATAAAACTTACCATCAATACTTTTTTCTGCCGGAGTTCCTGTCACACACCATCGGTGAATTGCGTTTACTTCGGAAAGCATGCGAGCAGTCTTGGAAGTCACGTTCTCGACCATTTGTGCCTCGTCAAGACAAAGCTGGAGGAATAAGCCAATAAAAATACCTCCCTTAGACATTAGTTGAAAGAGTCTTACAATAAAAAGTTCATATCACCAGTGCAAAACATCGTGAGCTCGTAACTGAACGTTTTAGAAACAGGCTCACACACGGTTATCCTTCATGAGTATGTTTTGCTTCGTCAGGTTTCACGCACGCCTTACGACCAGCAAAAAGGGTCAGATCTGTCTACTTAAATCAGCTCTAGTTTAAAGATAAAAAAATATTCTTAAGGAAGGAAACGCTCTGGGAAAACCAAAGTTTATCAGCCCGTCACTGAGCAAAAAAGAAGAAATAGGTATAAACGGTTTAGAAAGGAATAATGAGTTTCAAAAATCGCGTTGAGATAATGACGTCAAAAAAGTTGTATCCTGCACAAAAGTTTCTCCTTCCCCAGTCTAGTAATACTGAATAACTCAGGTTAGTAACGTTACTTAGTACTCACATTTTTGGTATGGCTTTAGCCCATGTTATTTTTAATGATTTTAGTGAAATTGCAGGGTGAGCTACTACCTTAAACCACAAGAAGAACGAAAGGGAGGCATTCATGGGTAGCGCCCGCTTTAGAAGGGACGACTTTTTACGGAGTCTCATCGGCTTTTTTAGTATATCATTCAAAGGAGTTAACACTGAACTGCAGATAGACCACCAACTTCCCCCAACCTCACTGGGTAAGGTACAACAAAAGAAAGGTTAGCTTGAGCAAAACATCAAGTCAGGTGTGACGTCACTTTCACGGTCGCAAGCGACGACATTGATCGCGTACCCCATGAAGTTAGCGCAGTGTCAATGATTTGCACGACTTAGTTTAGGCTGCAGGAAGGGACAGTGACTTGCTCGTGACATAGTTTATAAAAATAGCAGTCATGATCGGGCGCAGTAGCCAGCAAGGCTAAAAGGTCCGTCAACGGTTTCATAC